CCCGCTTCGCTCGCCCGCCAGGTGCGAACTGCGCTCGGTCATTCGATTTTTGAATGCAAAAAGTTGTTTTTATAAAAATTTATCGAAAGTTAGTGGAGCTGTACGGTGAGAAGTGTATGGACGTGAAAACGTGCGGAAGTGGTGCCGGGAGATTTCTGAGAGCCGAGAAAACGTTCACGACGAGCAGCGGTCAGGGCGGTCGAATTTGCCGGAATCAACGGTAACTCAAATCGAGTCAAATTATAGGTCTCAAGGAAGAATGTGGCTACTACTTCGTGCAGAATATTGTGTCGGAGGTCCTCGGGTGCAAAAAGGTGTCCGCCAGATGAGTTCCTAACAAGATAAAGCGTGTGGAAAGTGCTACAGAATTTCTCTGCCGCTATGAAGAAGAGGGCGAAGAATTTCTTAATTCGATTGTGACTGGAGGCAAAACTTGGGCACTCCATTACACCCGGAAACGAAACACCAGTCGAAACAATAGCGTCACCCGACCTCACCAAAAGCGAAAAAGTTCAAGACGGTGAAGTCAGCGAGAAAGGTTATGGAAACCGTTTTCTGGAATAGGAAGGGGGTTTTTCTGGTGGATTTCATGCCGAAAGGAACTACAATCAACTCAGAAAGGTACTGCAAGATTTTCAAGAAACTTCGGCGAGCCATCCAAAACAAAAGAAGAGGTAGGCTCACCAAAGAAGTGTGTTTGCATCATGACAATGCGCATCCACATGTGTCACATCAAACAACCTCCCTACTCAATGGATTCGGCTGGGAAATCATCGATCATCCTTCTTACAGTCCGGACATTGCCCCCAGCGACTACCACTTGTTTCCCGCTCACAAAAAAACACCTTGCAAAACAGAAATTGGATTCAGACGAAGAAGTGCAAGAAGCAGTCGTCAGTTGCCTTCGCGACGCAGCAGGAGAATGGTACAACGCCGGCATTAAAAAACTGATTTCCAGAATGCAAAAGTGATTTGTCGTCAAGGCAATTATGTTGAAAAATAGCCAAATGTTCAACCTTCCAACAATGCACGCAAAGTTATGAATAAATTACATTTTCCATGTAAAAAAAAATAGGAAACCTTACTTTTCAATACGCCTTCTTATTATAAGGAGAAATACTTAGAGAAGTTGCTATCATATTTTTTGCGCAGAATAAACAAGTCAAGCAGATGGAAGGTTATTTGCTTATTCCGCTAGTTACACAAAGGTTTCTACCATATATTTGCATATATCGACATTATATATTGACATTATATAGAGTAAACAGGTCAGGAAGAGGTAATAATCATAGTTCAACCCAGTAACTTATTATTTATATCAGGTAAACAATCGAGCTAGTATATTCGATGGAAGTAAAATCTTTAATAAAATTATATATTAATACATTTTAATATTCACTATGCTACACTTTGATACTAAAATAATAATAAACCATTTAGATATTTTTATGTTTAACAAACATTCTCTTGGGATGATCTCGGGTTCTTTATATATAGCTAAACTTAAAAATATATATACAATATTCTATGAATTGTTGGCAAAGTATTTTTATGTTATAAAAGCAAAGATAATGTTTTTTAGGAAAGGTTTTAAATAATTTACCAAACCACAAGAAAATTATCGAGACAGTCTAAAAAAAAAAACGAAATATAAGAATATATATGTATTAATATTTAAATAAGTATACATTTAATTAATATTTATATGTGTTTGTGAATTTTGAAAAGAAACAGTTAAATGAAGCGTTGAAAACATACGAATATATGCACAGGTATTTAAAAAACATAATTTTGTTATGCTAATAGTTTTATTTTTCAGGGTGAGCTAGAGGATATAATACATCTAAAACTGAGAATAATTATCTTACAATAAATAAAAAAACTGTTTGTTTCGAAATGAATGAAGAAGGTTTCGAAAATTCAAGAATGTAAAGACCTTCAACCGAAAAGAAAATCGTAGAATTTCCAAATACAATTCTCCCATTAGTTGACACAATTAGTTCTTTCTTTGAAAGAAAACCACTCTCAAGATTGATGGTTGGTGTGTGGAGTTATATACAGGGTCAATAAAAACGAACCAAAAACCATCCTAGAGCTAACGAACAATATCATTGCTGAAAGCGTCACACCAGACACATGGAATCAACCCCAGTTTTACATTCGAGCATTCAATGTAAACACTTAGTACACACTAGATAAATGTGCTAGCCAAACGTCTAGCATAATTTGACCTGAAGTCAAAAATAATTCTAAAGTTATCAACCTATCCTAAAAAAAATCTCACTACAGGGGAAATAAATTTACTGTCAAATGGTTTAAAACATAAATAATAGAAAACTCAGACCATAAAAAAATATAATTGGTGTGTGTAAAAATAGCCATAACAGAACTAAAGAATCAAATAAAAGTTTATAATAGAATAGCAGAGCATAATAGAAATACCACCACGTTGAAAACTATGAAAGACAAACTTCAGGATGACACAGCAATTTATTTATGGCAAGAACAAAATGAATGATAAAAACTATGAATGATAAAAAAGATAAGCAATGAGAGAGGTTCACAGAGTTAGCTAAATATAAACATCAAAAATAATACTATGTTAATAAAATAACAAATAATTTGCTACAATATTAACAATAGCGACTTAAATATCTTCAAAGGTTCAACACATAAAATTAACAGGTCATACATTTAAATTAGCCCATAGTGTATTATAGCAATGTCCATAGTAAATACCAACGACTTATAATAGAATCTATGTGAAAAAAAAAAAACAATAAAAAATATAAGAATATCAGGTATTGATATTAAAAACAAAAGAGGCATATCCTGAAGAGGCTCACATGAGCTTCTCTAGATGGCAGAGCGCCATCTAGTGGAGCAAAATAAACAAAAGGTCTATATAACTTGCTCCGTGATATTGGGCCAACCCAATTTCTTGATAAATCAAGAAACGTCAAACACGAACGCGTTCCGAGCTATTGGCCCTCGTCAGAGTGGTGCAGACTGTATCTCTACGACCAAAATTTGATCCCAGAGGCTTCCTGAGAAATCAAGAACCGAATTTTGGTCGTAGAAGTACAGTATGCACCACGCTGACGAGAACCAACAGCCCAAAACGCGTTCGTGGTTGACTTTTCTTGATTTATCAATAAATTGGGTTGGCCAAATATCACGGAGCAAGATAAATGAACGTTTAGTTTATTTTTGCTCCACTAGATAGCGCTCTGCCATCTATAAATGCTCATGTGAGCCTGGTCAGGATATGCTTCTTTTATTTTTAATTGAATCTATATGATATCAAAACAACAAAAAAACATAAACAGGTGCATTGAACTACCAGAAACATACAAACAATATGATAAAACTATCCCATAGATGTAGGCAGTGTTCTATACCACAATTTTTCATGAGTTCATTAAAATTAAATTGATGTATCGAGATGTTATCTTTCAACCATCGCGTTTCTAAGATATATATATATATATTTTTTTTTAAATAGAGCAATCCATAAATAGATCATTAATTAAAAAAGGTATGAATATAGGGGGAAATATTTTTTTTAAACTTAATTCTATTGACGTTATGTGGCGCTGAGTTTGTTGTTGACACACATTAATATTTTTTTTTATAATACCTTGCAAAAGGTTGGCGTTCAGCCAACTGAAATATTGTTAAAATCAATTCTATTTTGATCGAATATATGCCTTTTAAATAAAATATATGTATATTTTCATTAAATGTTCCTTTTTAAATGTGATATATTTCTCTTGGTATTATAAGTTTAATTTTAAAATATTTAAATAACATTTTGTATAAACATAAATTTTGAAAAATACGAAAAGCCAAACAGTATATCATGGTTTTGGGCTTTGACCCTACTCAGCATAGGGGCGTCTTCGATTTCACAACATCCTACGAGAGGGATTATGAAAATAGTCGAATTTACAAAACAGATGGTTAAGCTGGTAAAGTGGCAAGGGCCAATTTTTGGGCAACATTACAACATAACACATTATAAAGGACTGCGGCGTATGATTATAAACAACACTCAAAGTTTCACCGCATAAGTTTCTTTTCTGTGAAAAATCAATATTTATTTCAAAGAGAAATATTTACTATTTCTAACTTTTTTTAGATGAAATATGAAAGGGTGAAAATATGAAGAGTAATGGCGAACGGAAAAATAAAAGTGTCCAGGGGCGGGAATCGAACCCACAACCTTCCGCTTACCGGGCAAATGCCATGTCCACTAGGCTACCCTGGACGTATTTTTCCGTTCGTAAATAATACTTAAAGTAACTTATAATACATTATAAAGGACTGCGGCGTATGATTATAAACAACACTCAAAGTTTCACCGCATAAGTTTCTTTTCTGTGAAAAATCAATATTTATTTCAAAGAGAAATATTTACTATTTCTAACTCTTTTTAGATTAAGTATGAAGGGTGAAAATATGAAGAGTAATGGCGAACGGAAAAATAAAAGTGTCCAGGGGCGGGAATCGAACCCACAACCTTCCGCTTACCGGGCAGATGCCATGTCCACTAGGCTACCCTGGACGTATTTTTCCGTTCGTAAATAATACTTAAAGCAACTCATAATACTTTGAGTGTTGTTTATAATCATACGCCGCAGTCCTTTATAATGTATTATAAGTTACTTTAAGTATTATTTACGAACGGAAAAATACGTCCAGGGTAGCCTAGTGGACATGGCATCTGCCCGGTAAGCGGAAGGTTGTGGGTTCGATTCCCGCCCCTGGACATTTTTATTTTTCCGTGCGCCATTACTCTTCATATTATCACCCTTTCATACTTCATCTAAAAAAAAAGTTAGAAATAGTAAATATTTCTCTTTGAAATAAATATTGATTTTTCACAGAAAAGAAACTTATGCGGTGAAACTTTGAGTGTTGTTTATAATCATACGCCGCAGTCCTTTATAATGTATTATAAGTTACTTTAAGTATTATTTACGAACAGAAAAAATACGTCCAGGGTAGCCTAGTGGACATGGCATCTGCCCGGTAAGCGGAAGGTTGTGGCTTCGATTCCCGCCCCTGGACACTTTTATTTTTTCCGTTCGCCATTACTCTACATATTTTCACCCTTTCATACTTCATCTAAAAAAAGTTAGAAATAGTAAATATTTCTCTTTGAAATAAATATTGATTTTTCACAGAAAAGAAACTTATGCGGTGAAACTTTGAGTGTTGTTTATAATCATACGCCGCAGTCCTTTATAATGTATTTTAAGTTACTTTAAGTATTATTTACGAACGGAAAAATACGTCTAGGGTAGCCTAGTGGACATGGCATCTGCCCGGTAAGCGGAAGGTTGTGGGTTCGATTCCCGCCCCTGGACACTTTTATTTTTCCGTCCGCCATTACTCTTCATATTTACACCCTTTCATACTTCATCTAAAAAAAGTTAGAAATAGTAAATATTTCTCTTTGAAATAAATATTGATTTTTCACAGAAAAGAAACTTATGCGGTGAAACTTTGAGTGTTGTTTATTACAATATAACGTTGCACCAGGATAAAATGTCGGTACCAAAATAACTGACTCAATGAATGGCTGAAAATCGACCCTTGCCACTTCACCAGTTTAAACACCTGTTTGGTAAATTCGACCGATTCCCTAACCCCTCTCGTATTTCCCCCCCTTTTCATAAACAAAATCTTATTTAAATAATGAAGACATTAAGACGCAAATGTTACATATAAATTAAACTTCTTCTGTCCTTACTGCGATGGAAAAATATTGGGAAGGCCTTCCAAGGGTTTCGACGATTTAATCCACCAGACCGCTTATTTAAAGCTCTAATATTGTATTGGGTCATTCTGCTTTTATATGCTACACTGAAGTTTGGAATCTTAGAAATGGTATTCAAGCAAGAATTACATTTAAATATTTTCATCGAGAAATGCTCTTCCGCAAATAATAAGGTGAAGTTATGGCATAAATTAATATAAGGCAATAAACTCGAATGAAAACTCGTCACTCCCTTCATGAAAATCAGATCGTCACAGTAATCACATCTATAGATATTCTATTTCTAACATTTATGGAGAAATATGGAAAATATATGTATCATATTACAAAACAATAATTTGTCAGCCACCACTAAAAATGGAATATATAAATGGTAGAAAATCCAAGGTATATCTATTCCTTTGTGAATAAATCCTGCTTCTTATTACTAAAATTGTAATATTCTGCAAAAAATAAATTATATATAATTTTAGATTATTTTATTTTAAATAAAAAATATATCTCTCTTTTGAGTATAACAATGGAATAAACACAAATTTTTATATAGTCAGAAAAAATATACTTTTCATTATAAATATGACCACACATAATTATTTCCCCCCCCCCCCCCTCTCTCTCTATATATAAATATATATTTTAAATACATATGGTAATTTAAACCAACAACCCCATACTGTCTATATAACTTGTAATAAGATTGTCATGTTGTATATAGAAACACATCTATAAATAATTATGCGCATGATTAATCTGTGTCATTACATCGCCCTATGTAATGTAATTTGTACAAAGTGGATAAATAAATAAAATCTGTAATAGATTTAAGAGTTGAGCTAAAGCAGAGATCGAGCATAGTATTGCCAAAACAACAAAGTCTAAAGATGTAAGTCATAAATCAGGTAGATTCACAGTTCCCACGACAGGCCACCCACACTGTCACATGTGGTGGAATGCAGAGACCCCTCTCACACCTGAGAAGGCGCCCTTTCTCAAACGCCCCTGTCACATAAGGTCACCCCGTCTTTAACCTATAAATCATCACCTTACAGTCTCTTGACAGTTCAGTTCAGTTCAGTTTAGTTTAGTTCACCCTTAGTGCAAGCCGCGTCGGTCGTATGTCGTATGTTATGTCGATCTCATCCAACATGTAGTTAGGAAGAACTCGTCTATCTCCATCTTGCCTTACTTGCTCAACTTTTATCTGTTTACGGAACTTTCTTAGTGCAACTGTGTCTTCGTTTTTTTGTGTGGATATCCCCAGCTTTCCACTCTGCCTCGACCACGACTGCCTGTATTTTGTGAGAACTTTTAAAGGTCTTCCAAGGTGCAGAGAGGTACTGGAAAACTCTACATCCTGACTGTTCCTCTCGGTCAACACAGTACAACAAGAGCTACCAGGACTTCAACTCTTATTTCAGTAGTCGACAGGATTCTACAAGAGTCAACAGGATCTCTCTAATACTACAAGTCGACAACAACCAAACTTCAACTCTTATTTCATACATATATTTAAAAACAAATCGAATATTCCAAATATTTACTTAGTGATTGGAATTGAAATGATTTTAAAAAAAATTCAAATCCAGATCGAAGTAATTTGAAGAAAAATATTCATTGAAGTTTCGTGAAAATTTTATTCAAATTTGACCATGGGAAAGGTTTAATTGGCAATAAAAAAAAGCAATTAATTCTCTTAATGATAACAAGAAAATACTGATGCAAATTCAAAGGGAAGAAAGAGAGAATTGATACAAATATATCAAGACAACAATACAAACGTTATTTTGAATTTAAATACCAATATGTTGAAAATACAGGTAAGAATTCTTATGATCACTTTGGCAATCAAACTAAAGATATTCCAATTAATCTACACAAATTCAACTCTTGTATCAATCTCAGATGTCAACTCTGGTTTCACCTCTCTACTGATTCTCCTTCTTGATCACTAAATCTTGATACACCATCAGCCAGCCAGAAGTTGGATAAATATCACGTGATAGCAACTGGCAGAACTGATAATTTGGATTGATAGATATCAACATGACCCCAGTTTTGAGCTTCTCTTATATCCAAATCTTAATAATCTTTAAGAAATCTGTTCCACATATTTCGGCATATATGTCGAATCCTGTCGACTCACTGTAATATGCGGGACTTCTAGTGATGGTTGATTGAGTGGTTTGATTGATTGATTGATTGTTGTGGGCGCATTCGTGTTTGCTAATAGTAAGGTATTCACACAGGGGAAAATAACGAGGACACAGGGTTGGATTGAAAAAGGCCAGCGATCAAGAGAGAAAGGGGTGACTATGGGGTTCTTGACTAAGGCTAGGCTGTCACATAGTAAACATTGGACTTATCTGGGTGATGAGGAAGATGGTGGCGAGGTCCTGGCTCTGACAGGTCCTGCTGTTAACTCGATACTGTCCAGGTCCCAACTTGTTGCGATGGTGCCGAGCTCCTAACTTGTTCCGATGGTGCCGGGTTCCTAACTTGTTCCGATGGTGCCGGGTTCCTAACTAACTAAACTGAGTCCGAGATTTAACATGTAAACTATTCAATGTTCTCATTGGATGAATGTCGACTCGTGGTCGTCTCTCATTGGCTCTTAGCTAGTCCTCCTGGACTCTGATTGGATCTTTGTTAATCCTTTGTCCTTGTCTTGTTTTAACATGATCCCGGAAGGGGCAGGTTCTTGAACCCAGTTTTTATGAGTTCCTGGATAATAAAACCTACTAATGACCGTTTCCTCTCTGATGGCCTTTCTCCCAGATTTCGCTAAGCCTTGTCTTTATTAAAAATCTTTAGATCATACATTGCATACATATTGTGGTGGGATTACATCCAGTTATGTACAAATTATGACATATTTTTATCTAACTTTTACCATCACATATGCTGAGGTGGCAATAATTATCTAGATAGTAGAATCTCTAACTAATCTCTATTATATTTGAAGAATGAAAAGATCCATATCTCAGTGTCAAGTAGATTTAAATTGAAACGGAGTACAATTCTAATAACACAAAAACAAAAATAATTACTAATATTCAGAAAAATATTTAAAGTTTGAATAGCAATCTGAGCATAACCTTTCTAAAACTATGACTAAAATTAATAGCATTTTTTAAATAATAAACCCTCGGGTGAAATTGTGTTGAAATAACTAAATTGACTAAATAATAATCATGTATTCACAACCTTTTTAAATAGTAGAGTCAGTAACAAATATTTTAAACCATTTAACAATTTTTGAAGATATACCTGGGACTTAGTGTATTATATAACTTTTAGAAAAAAAAATACGAATTAATCTTTGTCATAATTGTAAGCTCTTCTTGTAAGTTTTAAACATTTCTTGTTCAAATCCCCAAAATCAGGCAGAATGAAAAAAACTTACAAATCGCTCGAATATCAAGGATAATAAAGGGACTCGGTGAAAATAGAAATCTGTTGACAATAGAGTCTGAATTCTAGGCTGCTGTGTATAACAGAAGTTCCAGATGGGGTGTGACCGCGCGGTGTGACTTCCCTGTGTGCCAGCTCTACTAACGGCGTTGTTTCAGGATCTATCTAGTGACTATACAGACAGTCGCTATTCACAGCGGGTCAGATTTTAGCGATTACACCTTTCTGATAATCACAGCAGGGGCTGTGTTCGTTTACCATTCCACGTTGGGCGGAAGACCCATTATTTTAACCCTGTGTCACATAACGTGGATTGGTACTCACCTTCTCCTCCGGCAGCTTGGCTCGCTCCACATATCCACAGACCCTAGGTACTGATTACTAGTCTGCTGGTTTTGGTGTAAAACTCCGATGAGAGGCCTTGCGTGTGACGTTAAGTCCGACTTTCAGCGTCGGCAGTGTCAGCAGTTCTGTCTTCAGTCTCTAGTCCGCTCCATTCCACTTTGTTGTCCAATAGTGAACTCAACGAGTTCATCGAGATGTTGGAATTTGGAAGTTGGGTCAGTTGTGCAGCAATACATGGCAGTGTGAGATAGTATAGTCTACCTCTAACCCTCTCTGTGTTATATATCTAAATATTATGTGGAGCCCTAACCATGTCTAGTTAGCATTTAGGTGAATGTCTTTCTGTAAGCTACCTCCTTACGTCACCATGTCTTTTTTATAACTTGTTGTTCGAACGGTATCAATTATTTTGGATGTAAAAACTCATTAATCCTCACTTCTTTTTATATAATTATTTATATAAACATTTCAACAAATATTTTGCGGGAGTAAAGGCAAACGTACAATAGCAGAGGGAAGTTTTTTTTTCAGA